GCCGTTGTGGAAAAAGGAAACCAACGCGCAGCCTACTTCCAAAAATGAATCGCCATTCTACACCTGCAGCGCTCTCGACCCTTCCCCCGATCTTTCTCAAACCACGCTAAGCCAAATGTTTGACAATATTTCCACCTTGCCGGCCGATGTGCGATACAAACTCCAGCCATCGCAACATCCAGGTGTCGAAGTCATGCAGATCCTACAATCCCAGTACAGCTCTAAGAAATCGGGACGTGTAGAGGCAGCCTTTCGGCTAGCAGGAGGGCTTGTAAGTCTGGCAGCAGAGCTCTGGCAGCGGGGCGAAACGACTATTGAATTGGTCTCCGCTGGCCACCTTCTTCAAAATGAACAGAAGATCAGGGCGATCAGCCGCAGCACCGCCAGCGGGTTACACATCTTTGTTGTCATCGGTCCTGACCTTGTCGGGGATGAATGGGTGTCAGACATCCGTCGAAACTGCAGAATGATCGCCGAGGCCGTGGTCCAGGCTACTGCTGAATGCAAATCGGGTCTATCGCATAGCCAGTCTCTGGTAACGGAGCTACTGGTTGCAGATGACAGAGACGATGAACAAGTTCCCGTACCAGAAGGTGTCAAGCGCCAGCTTGAGTCTTGCACAGGGGAGCGTATGCGAGCCATTGGCTACTGGCAAAAGACTTTACTCCGTCACCTACTCCTCGGGTTGGAGTGCGATCTTGAGTGGGATAAACTGCCAAAGGATGTCCGGGCCTTCCTCTTGAAAAGATGCTGCGGGCAGTCCTGCTCGCTCTCTTCCACGCAAATGGACTGGATCCGGTCAAGATTCTCCGCCGACGAGTCCCTGGGTATCGAAGAGTTCATTTCGCGATGCAACCTTGGGGCTGGGTTAGCAGTTTCTGTGACCTCTTTTACTGAGACACTGCCGCCGAACCAAAATCTCCAGCATGCCTTCCCGGATTCATGGTCCGTGAGTGCTCAACTGCCAGCAAACCCGAACTTGTCAGATCTAGGCTTTCTTGAAACAATCCGGCTTGCACTGTCTCGGCTCCATGAGAAAATCAAAACATGCATCAAGTTCACCGTGATCTCTCTCGTTGCGGATCCGGAATACCAGAGGGAGCTGAACTACATCACTCGTGGACTTCCTTTGATTTTTGCCTGGCCGGCGACTCTGATTCTTAATACGGTCTGGATAATCTGTAAAACCCTTCAGCGGTTTATTCTTCCCGTGGTTTTGGTATGTATTGCTTAGCTCGCGGTCATGATTAAGCTAACAAGGTTGAATAGCTACACGGTCGTGAGAAGGTCTCCACACTTTATAAGAATATGAAGGGCAGAAAGACGGTTATTGAGAACAACCGCGTCATAACGGAGAGCCTTAACGGCCCTTCGACAGGTTTCTTTGAGACTATGCCGGACGGTACCTTGCGCCTCTACCAATACTCCGGGCGACACGAGGAGAGACCAAACGACAATAAGCACTTGACGGCCATTAACACATACAAAGACACGCTCAATCTCCAGAAGAGGGAGGAATATAGTAATGGGTCACTTACCAACGAGTTTATCTACGATTATACGTCGGTCAATGATGGTCGAAACGCAAAACTGCCATCAAGACGTCAATGTGTCAGTGGCGTGCTCAGCGGACAAGTCGTTCAGTACGATAAAAGAGGCCACATCATGTCCGGTTCGACCATGCGCAATGGAGATCCAGTGTCGTTTGAATTTTCGTACCGGAAGCATGCCAAGTTTGATGATGAATTACTGCGAGCCGAGTTCGTTTCCGGGCATAACAAAATCCAAGTTTCCTGGTGCATGCCGCCTCGCGCTCGTCCGGAAAAGTTGAACAAATGGATCCCTTATCCTCGTGTCACGGAGGCCACGTTCACGAAAGAGTCGGACGTTTATAATGCGAAATGGACATACGATCACAAGTTCCATCCCATCATTTCCACCACCCTCAACGGCGAGCCTTCGCCAACTCCGCCCATGATACAAGATGACTGGTACAATGTGTTACAGAAGCCGAAGAACTGCAGCTTCCTGGATGATAATCCGCTCTTCTCTTTCTCTTCCATAAAGGCTGGGGTTGTCTCACGGATGTTTGGTTTTAATATCAAGCGGTATCCCATTCCCACATCGCTTGCCAGAGAGCATCTATGGAAATCCTGGAAAAGCGGAAAGGAATTCGACGCGGCAACCACGAGATGGATGGATGAACTTCTCTTGAGGTCGGATCGAGTGCTTAACCCTTACTGGAGAAACAGGGATTTCGGCAGACTTGATGCTGCTGGAAAGTACCTCGATGCCTTAGGCGACACAGTGCTTGCGAGAGTTGATATGAATCCGGAAGTCAGCTCCTGGACATGGCTCGCTTTCAAGATGAGCGACTTGTATAGTTTCGGACAGGGTGGTGATGCGCGAATCAACACGAGAACACTCTCTACACAGCTACAGGATAGTGACCGCCAACTCCATGTTCTCGCGCTGGATACAGCGACTTGGCCTAACGAACCCGGTGGTGTCTCGGCTTGCCGACGAGATTTGGTCAACAACCTCAAGAGTACTAGATGGCATATCCTTGCTGAAGCCGCTACCGATTTCGGTGTCCCCCGGTTTCAGATTGAGAGAAATGTGCAATCGCTTGCAGTCGTGCCACAGTGGGGTCTGGATTTCCTCAACCCTACTCACGGGGTTTTCCAGAGCTCGCTCGATTCGGAGGTTGCGGAACGGTCATTCGACACGCGGAAAAGTGACATTGAACAGAATTTCATTCCTATTCTTACCAGTCTAGTCCGCTGCGCTCGTACAACTCAACACACCCGCCGGCATATAGAAGAAGCCACGAAAGCTTTGGTTGATTTGAACACCTACTTTGAGTCTTCCCGGAACTGGAACGATGTCTGGATGAGTGATGTGGTTAAGGATGCCTGGAGAAACCTCTGGTTGGCCGACGATATCGATGGTATCATGCCCATTTCACAATGGAGAACTGCGGAACATCCGACCTTGGTGCAACTCGACACCGCATTGGATATGTGGCATCGCTGTAAGTTCTTTTTCTTCGAGGTCTTTGCCTGGATACATGTATTAACCAAGTTCTTGTAGATCTGTTTGTCTTCTCCGTTCCCGTCCCCGAAAAGATCCCCGATATTTTCCAGGCGTCGCACCATTTCACAGGCGCCACGTACGGTGTCCTCTGTAAGATCAAGCGGAAGTGTGCCCTGCATGTGTGGGATCATTCCATCAGTCTGAGAGAGATGGTCACGTTCTTGTCTGGCGCTATCTCTTTCGACTCTTCCTTTGTCAACACCACCCTCATCCACCTGGGCCGTCTGTCCTGCGTCCTGGCTGAACATCATGCGGACGTGGTCTTGCCGTGCGCCGCGTTTTTCAACCCCGGCTGGGAGGCGGAATTGGGAACTTGTGAAGGTGCCCTGCAGCACCGTCGGGCATTCCAGCGAAAGATCGACCCGGTGGTCAACGGAATCACGGATATGGAGAAATACAAGCCCATCGAAACCATCAAGACCGAAACGCCTACCGTGGTCATGTTGTCTCATATCCGGTACGTCCTATTCCAACTATTGAAAGTATCTCAACTCAGCGTGCTAATATCCGCGATAGATATGTGAAGGATATCAAAACGGCCGTCATGGCCACCGATGTGATTGTCAACAGATGGGGCTTCAAGGATTATCGACTCCACATTTACGGCGACATGGAAAAGACCCCTGGCTACTCATCGGAATGTCAAGAGATCATCGCGTCCAAGGGGCTTCGCGATCACGTGGTTCTCAAGGGTCTGGGTAACCCATCTGTGGTGCTCCAGGATGCTGTAAGTTCCCTTGGCTCCATTTGAAAAGGACGTCAATGTACTAACGTTCTCTTTAGTGGCTTTTCATGAATTCCTCGATTTCCGAAGGTCTGCCATTAGCTATGGGAGAGGCTGCATTGACCGGAGTACCCGTTGTCTGCACCGACGTTGGCGCGTCATTCTGCGTTGTCACAGACAGCAAAACCGGAAAACGGTTCAGCGAGGTCGTCGCGCCCAATGACGCCTTGTCCCTCGCTCAAGCGCAAATCCGAATCCTTGCCTTAGTGGATGAGTGGGCCCCGTTCGCCGAGGACGAGGAGGGCTATCAGCCGCCGAAGCTGTCGCTGCGCCCCAGTCCCGAAGAGGTGGAACAGATCACGAAGCGGATGTACGCTAAAACTGAACAGCGACGTCGACTGGGTATGCGGGGGCGTGATAACGTGCTCAACAATTTCTCAGAGCACCGGTACCTCCGGGAGCATGAGCAGATGCTCTGGATCGGCAAGTACCAGAGCCGCAGCTTCATTGCTCGGGAGCGGATGGCCTCTTCGAACAGCTCCCTGGTCTTCACCAAGGAGAGGATACATTCGTCGCAGCCGTCTCGAACGTGGTGGGGAAGGTTACGTCGTGGACCGGGTCCACTCAGCTCTGCTGAGTCGAGCTCGGAGTCCGTTTAATAATGATTATAGATATTTCTGGTTTTTAAAGTTGACGAGAGATGTTTATAGACATAGATTATTAGTACATATTGTTAATATTAATGATAATGGTATATACAATACTTCTTTTTTTTCATCTGACTATGTTCACATATTAAACTCCTTATGAGAATATGCACTATGATCGCTATCTCTCAATAGAGAAGGAATTGTAGCCGAGATAGAGATAGATGAGTAACATAAACAGCCAGATAGCACGTGTACTTCCATCTTTATCTACCTATTCAGAGAATAGGGTATTATTTAGGGCTTACATTCCCTAAACCCTGTCAGAAGATCACCTTACCCTAGATGATATATGTACTAGACTAGACTACAGACATACACATATACCCTGTGGAAACCAAAAAGGATGCTATCTTTCTATAAGATACGCTATGGTAAGAGAGAGAGAGAGAGAGAGAGGGAAGGAGGGAGGGAGAGAGTAATCCAGTAAAAGGGAAATGAATACCAGCTACCAAGGTTCGACTTCATTGAGGTTAACCCTGTACTCGTTACTCGTTACTTAAAGTAAATTGTCATGCGCATTTTAGGTGATAGATATTTCTAGATTATTCACTGCTTGGGTAGTAAGTATGGAAGGGGATTGGATGAGGGGATTATTTCGGAGATTAGTTCCTGATGACGGGTTATTATGGGTTCTTTGTTGGTTTCGGGTTTCTTTGTTATTCTTTCTTTCTTTGTATTGTATTTTTATTTTGAAACTGTGAGGTGGTGCGGTAGTACGCTGGTTTTGCCTTACAGACGACTGGTAAGAGGGATTGTGGGACGGCAGTTGAAGATACTGCCAGTGCGTCATACTCCCTAGTAGTGGAAGAGCAGGTGCACTGCACTGCAGTGATAGAGACCATTCACCCTTAGCAAAAGATCAAATCTTCTGATTGAACATATTATGAAGCATGTTTCTGGCAGATCCACAAGAACACCATTCCCCGCTTTTCTGGCTATATGAATCTTCCCTACTCCTTAGTATATGTAAACACGATTATTTATACTCCTACATGGATGCGATGACTTCGATAGTATGCCGGACTATCATTCCCATCTTCACTCTTTCGTCCACAGGACTTGGGTATCTAACTGGTACTGAACGATGGCTACTGGGTCCAAATAATCTCCGAAGGGGCTGCGCGATCGGTTAGGATTTGGACACGTCCGCGATGATTTTGTATGTAGCGGCGTGGATGCTTAAAGGTCGGGTACGTGGGTATACCGCTCCCACGATTTGATGATTGGGCCCATACTGCGGGTAAATCCCTTCGGACAGCTCGATGAAATGCGCCTGCGGTCGGGCCTCGTGCAGCATGTCTAGAATCCGCTCGCTCCAGAGACCCGAGCATTCGTCGTCAATGAGCTGGAAGTACGGGTTGAGAGGGGGGCAGGCCGAGTCCAAATCGATGAACCGAATCCGCATGTAATTCAACACTTGGTGAGTGTTGAGACTATGTACCGCACCGGTGATCAATCGCTCGAACGCCCGGATAAAGTGGAGATTGGTGATCCGCGAAAAGTCATCCAGGAATGGCAGTCCGGAGTGGGTTCGCTTGTCGCGGCAGCAATTCTTGACCACCAGGTCTAGCGATCTCAATTTCGAAGATTTGGGTGGCCAGGCCACTAAAGAATTTCGCGTGGGTTGGAACAGACACGCACAGACCTTGCCTGTAAATGCGAGGGACTCCAGGTGCGGTATGACATCTCCCAGCAAGCGACATAGATGAGGGGGGTTGACTCCGTCGCCCAGCCAGCTGGTCTGCGTGCTGTCCTTACTGTAGAATCCTTCCAGGCTAATATTAAGGTGTACAATGGACGGTGACAGTCGTCGTAGAACTTCTGCAATGGTATGATACCCTTCGACCTTCGGTTTTGCGTACGCACAATGCCACTCTTGCAAACCCGGCAACGCTTCTGACAAATTACGCCAATGTCGGTGGTCGCGCATAATGTTCCAAGCTCCGCGCATTACAAACGAGCGAATCTCCGGTAGCGTCGGCAGCCGCTGGCCAGAGAATCCACACGGATCGTTCCTAAAGTGGCGTACCATCGGTGGCTTTTTGCAGTGGCCTCCTTCGAGAGTCAGAATGCGTGCCTCAGGAAAGCACGACTGAACGTGATAAAAGATCTCCTCTAAAGTGGCATTATGACTGGCGTAGTGGTACTTGTAGTCGTTTCCATGGTTGGTGTCGGAATCATCCCATACCATGGTCGTATGTGCGGCGGATCCATCCACATCTTCATCATTATACCGCCGGGCGGGAATTTGAGAAGAGTTATTCTTGATGGCCCGCTTCCCCCATACCGGGATCCATATCTCGACATGGCGGACATAGCTGGCTAGATGGGGATGCGCCCGAAACCAACGTGCCGATTCGGTCAACTCCTCCGTCGTGCCTTTTATTTTGACTAGTCACGGTCAGACAGCTTCTCCAAACAACGACATCATCATCGACTCACTATGTCTGTAGATCCGATCTTGCACTAGCGACCTCCACACGGGCGAGATTAACGCTAGGTTCGACAAAACTTTCCGTCGCGGGTGCCGAAGAGATTTATTCCAACTTCGACCGGGCGATTTTCCCGGACCGGTCGTTGTGAAAGCTGCCGCTCGTTCGCCGAAGAGGTAATCAAGGATGGCTTCGTGGATTTCAACAGGGAGGTTTGGAAACTGCAGCTCGGGCCGGAGGGGACGTGATGCATCCACACTGATCTCCACATCTTCCATCTCGGTATCCACCGGGGACTGGCAGGCCAGCTGGCCAGGCACTACGGGAGGGGCGATGGGGCCATCGGGCAGCTGGAACTCTGCGCTAGTACTTCGCGTTGATTTGGCATATGGAATAGATGACGAGATCGAGGCTCTCGCCAGAGAATTTACAGAAACCGGGCGTGGGGGAGGAATGGCGGAAATCATGAGGGGCGACGAGGGCGGCAGGACGACCAACTCGGACGGCATCGAGTAACCGGAGGGAAGGAGGACCAGTAACGCCAACCCGTAGGAATCAAATGATCGTCAAATCGTGAGCGTAAGGGATACTAAAAAAAAACGCAGGAAAAAAAATGACCTCAGTGTCAGCATAGACTTGATGTAGAATCCATTTTGGGTCGTACAGAGTATTAAGAAAGGGGGGAAATATGGGAAGGAAAAAGCACGTAGGAAAAGAGCAGCTGAGACATACTGCAGGTCAGAGAAGCAACCAGTGGGTGGAATCGCGGTGATTAGAGATTCAGTATGCGATAAAATAGGTTCAAATATGGATGGTTTGGACTGCAAGCGAATGACGACCCGACCAAGTTTACAAGCAGCCAGCGTGGTCCATGACGGACAGGCGAGGGGGAAGATGCGTGTCTAACTGTCAGTCGTCGCGTAGGAAAGAGGGAGGGGGGGGGAAGAAGAAGTCAAAAGATCGAAGTAAATCAGGCCGTTAGGCAGCTCCCCAGGTGATGTGATGACGATGGTGTATAACCAGATAAGAATAAATAAATAATAAATCAATAATGTTGGAAGTGGAGACCACCGTCAATCAAAACGATCGCATCCAGAGCGGAGAAGAGAGGAAGGGAGGGAATTAATTTCGTTGGTTTTTTTGATTTCTTCCCCAGTGAGTGAATGATTCTTGGGAAAATTAGAAATAGCAGAACGACGACAACAAGAGAAAACCAACGGGGGGGAACCGCATAAGAAATGAAACCACAGGGGATTCGATGTAAATTTATTGGCAACGTAATTTAACTTCTACTTGCTTTTTTTTTTTTTTTTCCTTTCCAGGTTTTTTACTGCTTTTGGTTTTTTCATCTGTTCAGGTGGACAATCATTGAGACAGACGGAGGTTTTAAAAGTTACCGTATTGTGATACTGCCAATACCACTTAAGGTTTGGCAAAAACCACCAGTCCAAAAGACTAGGGACTAATCGGATGCTATTCCAGTTTCATGACGATCATGCCATGTTGATGGCAGAAACGACTAGTAGATACGATTGAGAATGATATGAGCGGGATTTCCCTGTTTCGTACCAATTTGGGTTCATATATCCCAGTCGGCTCTCCTCTGCTTCGGTGGACTGCTCATATTTTGGGTTTAACGAGGCTGATTTCCATGATGATCCTCATCATCCAATGAGAGCGTCAGTCCAGCTGACCTTGGTGATTCTGTATCTATCGAAGTGTATCGTAATCGTAATCTTTCTTACTAATAAACTTCCTCTCCGCCGCAAATTTCGATCCATGCCCGATGAAGCCATCAAGGGCTTCATATTATTCACTGTTATTTACATCCCTCACCGAGCTGAAGCCAAGATTGAATACGTTATCTTTTTTCTTCTCTCGAAGCAAAACAAAGATAGTGAAGATCAAAAATCAATCCCCTTTTTTTTAGAGTAAGGGAGAAGTTCAAATTACCCTCCTTCGCCGAACAAATAAGCTTTCGTCAAGAATCGAGATGCTTAAGTATGAGGACCCACAAAGATATATATCTGTTCCCCATACGATCCGAAGTAGAACATCATCTTGTACTAGTCCTTATCGAGACGATTGAGCCGCTGGAGTCGTGTATTTGACATACCGTCCACGTATAAAATTCTTGTCAAGGTAATCAATCAATTCCTCGTACCGGGCGTGGATGCTTGTATCTGGAGGGCCTCGACGTTCTTCTCTCTTTCCATAACAAATAAGTTGAAAATGACCGCTAAAGCTAGCAATTCTATTGAACCACAGCACTGCCAAAACATGAGAAAAGAGATAACGGCAAATATACAAGTTCCGAAATAAATCAGAACACCAACGCAAGTTCTATATACAAGTCTATATGCAGTCTATCGTGAAATCTATACCCTCGTCTCATGGCCATTCTCCACATGTTCCTCTTCGCTCTTATCAAAGTTTCCCTCCTTGATCTCAAAGCGGAATCGCTCTTCCTCCTCCTTCATCTGAGCCTTGACCTTCTCATTGGCCCGCCACACCGGCTTAACCTCGAACAGGCGGTCCACAACTTCTAGCGGGATACCGCTGGTCTCGGGAATGAGGAAGAAGGCGAAGAAGAAGGCGAGGAAAGATAAGGAAGCGAAGAAGAAGTACACTCCATAGCCCATCGCGGCGAACATTTGCTCCGTAAAGCGGGAAACAAGGAAGTTGAAGAGCCAGTTGCTGGCGGTGGTTGCGGCCTGGGCCAGGGAACGAATGTTGGGGTCGAAGAATTCCTAGTTATTGTTTATCAGTGACGGTTCTTATCGACAAGTGGGTCAAGGGGAGGGAGGGGAGAAACCTACCGAGTTGATCACCCACGGAGTGCCGTTCCATGTAGGCGTATAGACCGCCGTCCACAGGTAGAAGAAGAAGATGGCTGCAATACCACCACCGTTCAAGTGGTCGGTGGGATGTTGCTCGGGCTCGACAACATAGATGTAAGCACCGATCACCCACATACAGACCGAACCCATGATTGCACCGATCAGGAGAAGCTTCCGTCTTCCCAACTGGTCAACCAGGAACAGAAGCCACACGAATGTCATAACGGCTTTCACCACACCAAACAACCCCGTGGTTATTCCGATCGTATTGCTATTGACACCGATACTTTTGAAGATGGTTGGACTGTAATAGTTGATCGCGTTAATGCCGGATCCATTCTGCCAGAAGAACAACATGCAGCCCAGGAAAAGACGCCACAAGATCTTTGGGCGTGTGCCAACGGACTGGAAGGGCTTCCAGAATCCAATACCAATGGTGGCTGCCTGCTCTTCAAGCGCTTGGTCGATAGCTGCCACCTCCTCAGTGATATAAATATCGGTCTCGCTCAACTGACGAATCCAGCAGAGATTTGCCATTGCTTCCTGTCGGCGGTCCTTGAGGAAGAGCCACCGAGGGGATTCCTTTGTCCATAAGGCACCAGCAAAAAGCAGCCCAGACGGGACCAGCTGAACGGCAAATGGGATTAACCATTGTTTATGGCTAGGCTCCATGTTGTTTTCGACGCCGTACTAAGCCGGATTCAAGTCAGCATTGTGTACATGGCTCTGAGCGATAAGGGGAAAGGATTAAAAGGTAGAGTGCCAATCAAAAGCGCGAAGACCACTTACGTTGATCCAGAATCCCACCATACCACCAATCTGCCAGCCAAGCTCATAGAGACCGACAAGTCGCCCACGGATGGCTGGAGGTGCCAGTTCCGAAAGATAGATCGGGACGATGTTTGAGGCAACACCAGTACCGAGTCCATTCAGGACACGTCCAGCATACATGATTCCAAGTCCGCGGGAGTGATCGGCACCCAGCTGTAGACCGGCTCCTAACGTGAAGATGGCTGACGCGATCACCAAGCTCCATTTGCGTCCGAGGAAATGGCCAACAGGGTAGGTAAAGAGGGCCCCAAAGAAGGCACCGGCAATGAACAGCGAGACAATATTCTCGCTAATCAAGTCCACTTTCGCAGATGACATTTTGTCCAAGCCAAATTCCTCTCTAAAGGAGTTCAGTGTGATGGTTGTACCAATAAAGGCACTCGTATAACCAATCATATTGGAACCACATGATGCAATGGCTGCGAGCAAGTACACTCGCCAATTGTAGACATTCTTCGGAGTAGGACGATCCTCAACGACGTTAAGAACGCCCATCGTGATGGACAAAGGGTCGAAGAATCAAATGAAGTAGGGAAAGGTGACACAGAAGATTCTTCGACACAGGGGGCGACCTAGGATGAACAAGAGGGAGGTGGTTTTGAGCACAACAAAAGTGAGACCTGGGTTTCGGGCGTGGAGAGCATCTTAAAAACTAAATAGATGCGGATGGACGCTTCATTCGAACTATCTCCACAAGTTCCGTCAAGGTCCGCCCCAGACTGGGGCGCCATGGGGTTGCTTCAAAGAGCTGCGATACGTCGAGAACTACGATGGACGCTTTCTCTCTGCAAAAAATTTGCTTTGCCATGGTCCCCGGTGAGTGAGAACGTGGGCCGGGGAAGCGTTTTCCCCAGACTGCTTTGCCTCTTAGCCGCGAAGAAATGTTCAGCCGCAGCGATCAAGCTTATATTCTCTACATAGAAGCGACGTGTGACCTTCTGGCTGATCCACATTTTCCCACAATTTTTTCCCAATAAGTGGCCCTAGACGAAGTCATCGTCAGTGTGGGAGGTCGGCCTTCACAGCATTGGACGCGACTATTCCGAGCTAGAGTCCCTAATTCATTCATCCACCATGGCGAGGGCTTTCCCGGTGAACCACCCGTCTTCACCGCATAGAGCATCTTACAGGGGTAGCTTCGGCTTGGCGGGGGCGAGAGCGCAGCCCAAAGTTGAGAAAGATTTCCTTGGTAAGGGAATATCCCGGGATCGCTTATCCGGGATTTTGTTGAGTGGACGTCAACCCGATGCCGGGGGAGAGCGCTTAACCCCACTGTAGGTCGGAACCTTGCCGAGATGCCGTTGATCTCGGTGCTTTAAAAGCTCGACAACACTGTACACCGGTGTATTAAAAGGGACGAAGAACTCATCCATGGGATTCTGTTTACCCCAGAATCCAATACCCGCCGCGATAGGGGTATATGCATGGAGTAGGGTATAAGCCGAGTAATGTATAGGATCCCATTCATAAACTCCGTAGGGAGAGACCGAGAGTACTAGTAGAAGCTTTCGCCAACCTCGGGCAAGAATGGACAAGAATTGACGCTAAACTGTATCGGGTCTCGGCAAAGGTCACACGACGAAATCAATGACTCGTTCTGCTTTTCGGATAAGACACCCGGAGAGCCCTAACTGGGCTACCAAATATTTTAATTTATTTTGCGTAAAAGTCCTCTTCTCTTCAACAATCATCCGATGTGGTGTAATGGCTAACATCGCTGTCTCTCACACAGCAGCTCGGGGTTCGATTCCCCGCATCGGAATTATCTTTTTTCGCTTCATTTTCGTTGCTCTAGTTTTGCCTACCACTAACTAGATATGGTGTGGTGTATGCGAAAGTCCCATAATGTTAACGAGCAAGGACTGTCTGTACGACGAAATGTACTAAGCCCCCTCTTTTGCATCTCCACCTTTACATTCATTTTGCTCGCGAATCAGATCTTGTAATGGACGGCCTGCCGGTTACCCAGTCCAATGGTCCCGAGAAGAGCGGTGATTCGTGAAATATGCATGTTAATGGCGATAGATACGACGCGCCCATTTGGGCATTCTTGGACAGACAAGATGCGAGACTGTGTTGCGTGTAGCGTACTTACTTACCATTTTATATTGATTCTAGTAGCTAACTTCGCATTACGCTATTCTTGAGATTGGCGTTAATAAAATAGCTTTCTCTTTCCTCTTGCCAGACGCGGACGCAGAGAGCGAAAATATATATCCCTTTGAACCATTACACCATCTCTGTTATACGACTATCGCTGAACAAAGACCTTGACGGTACGGCTGCTTTAGGGCGTCCATGTATGGTTCTAGCTGAACTCCCCAGCTACGATAGTGAAAGTTGAGACACCTCGCAGGAACCAAGGGCTTGGTAAAGTATACATCAAAGTCGCCCAAAGTCAATACGTAGTAGTTCATATCAGATCACAAGAGTCAATTATTATAGTCGAATTAAAACCCCCTCACTCGAGGAAAAGGATATCAGGAAGATTGGGGGGGGACTCGAGGCCCCAACAGGCTCCCCTCCTTAATCCCACATTCCCCTTACTTCACACCACCCAATCGATAATAGGGTGCAAACAACAACCCTAGCTAGGGCACTGGACAAACCAAGCTGGACATTTGTGAGCATTTGTCTTTCATAAGATGTTTTAGCACTCCTTCTGCTCCCTTGCCACGTAGGCGCCGGTAACGAAGACAACAATGTGACCGGCGCTTAGGAAATCCACAGCCGGCCTCTCCCTATGATAAGAATAAACAAACATTTACTGAAATAAACATCAATGATCGCTTATAAGATAAGTTTAGCACTAACCAAACTCAATCTACAAAGGCTAAAGTAAATCAAATTAAGCGCAGCGCTAGCGACATGTTCTTCCTTCGGCTCGGGCATACTCCTTGAATCTGATAGGCACAGACATAAGGTTCCCCATACCCGGAGTCCTTTTCCACATACGCCCTGAGAATTTAATAAAGTTACTTAGTACTTCAACCTGTGCTACGGTGCATTACTGACTGGGCCCCATTGTCAGGATATAGAACCCTCGCGCATGAGTTCGGGACCCCACCTTATGTGGCGAGTCATTTGTTCCCTCTGATGGGATGACTGTTCGAAAAAGAACACCCGGAAGGGATGTTTTCCGAGAATTATTATACAGAGCAATCGATCAACCAACCAATCCCTTCTGTGGATCGTATTTCGTTGTCCTCTCTACGATGTGAGCTTTGCCTAGAAGAGAAGGAGGAAGCACGTAAACAAGGAACGGATGGTCTCTGGAATGTCCGAATCAATGAGCCGCCCACCCTCAGTAAACAAAACCTCACGAGTCTGTAAGACATGCATAGAAAGAAAGAAAAAGAGTCAGGAACATGGTCTGGAATTGACATGCTTGTCATGCCGTCACCATGCTGGGAGCACCGAGGGAACTGCGAAGCCAAGGGGAACGCATATCTCAGAGGAACGCGGTTGAATCGATCAATTCGTGGAGCACGCTGGCGAAGAAAGACAATTGACACTTGCGCTCGTCGATATCGTATCCTTGGTGTTCTGGCAGATGACGTAGGGAAATCGAGGCTGTGTTTCGTGGTATCCGGACTGAATGTAGATTGCACCCAAGTGGTTGACATCATATTGCGTGCAGAGGTCCAGACCATGGAGCTGTAGGTGGAACTGTTCATGCAAGAGATATCTTGCAGCCGCCGGGGCTACCTGAAGGGCTGAGGTATCCTGAATGGAGGAGAATGAGGAGATTGGGCAATCATTACTACGGGAAGCTGATTGGACGCCTCGGTGTCCGCGCTCGATATCGACCAGGGCTTTTTGTTATCGAAAGTTCATACAAACTCTCGGCTGGTGGCGATATCGGGAAACTCAATCGCATCTAAAGTTCAATTTGTGGCTTTTACCACCTAGAAAACCGTTATGTAGGATTAACTAGTGTTTACATATGCTTTAGCGAAGCTTCACTCGCCACATTGCTTGCGTATACTTCAGTCATCCCGCTCTGGCCGATTCATGGGCAGCTCGGATTTGAGATGCGCCTGGCACGTATGATTTATTTCTGAGACGCGTCGAGTCATGCATGTATGTTACACCATACATTGAATCGCAGTAGCATTTGCGCTTTGTGCTGCACAAATCTCCCTCATTACAGAGTTGGACAGGCTACCACGGCGGGGAATTCCCAAATTGCTATGTGCAAATCGGGTAAGAGGCCACTGTTGGGATTCAATCATGTCTCAGGGAAGAAATCCCCGAACCCGACGACCTTCTCCCCCAGTGCTGCGGACGGCCCCACTCACTTTGGTCCACGGCTATGTTCGTGTCTCTCCCTTTCCCCGGCAAGCAACAAAGTACGGAGATCGCCATTGCAGCCTCAGACGGATCCCGGGACTGTTGACAGAAAGCGTAGCGTGAGAGCAGATGCTACGTAATGTTCGTTTTCTCCTCGAAAAGGCTAGCCCAAGTAAAATGGAAGACCTAAGCGCCAGCAACATATTTGCTGCGGTATGCTACCGTACAATTTCCAGGTTTTGCTTTCATTGCCGTTGTATATCCGTGACAATGACCTTGCCAACCCACGATTTTACTGAGGCTAAGAATGCAGATCTTTCCTAGCTCATTTTATGCATGGACGAGTGTGCACTGAACTCATTGTTCCTGTAGAGTCTGAAGGTCCTAGTTGTGAGCATATTCCGGGAATCGTGTCCAGCTAATGAGAGTGACCACTGCATGTGCTCTTTCCACAACACTCGATCACTCCATTGTTATTAGTTTGGGTATGCCGATTAGCTAATGTAGGTATGCTTGTACCACATGCCTGTGAGGGTGACTGTGAGAAGGCTGTGCCTCAGCTGCTGAGCAGTAAAAAATCAATAAGAACCTAAATTGGAACCTAAATTCATGAAGCGCACGAGCGAGCACGAGCGATGGGTGCCCCTAACCAGTATTGTTGGCTCCATATATCCAAGCACAGGTTATATTTGTAGTGCAAGATGCGACTTCTGAGTCTCGATCAAATGCAGTACTCGCAATATGTCTTCACTTGATGACGACCCAATTGTGGAAGATATTTTCGTTCCGCAATCTCTTCTGAATGCAGTATCAAGAAGGGAGGACACGGCTGAAGGGACCCATAGGGCTACTTCTCCTTGTTACCATCCTAGCAGCCAAGCTGAGGAGATTCACATTCAGAAAAGAAACCAGCGTACAATAAGTTGGGCAACTAAGGTATCGGACAAACGGGAAGCTCCACAGCGCGCAGCAAGTTATTCATCGGTCTTGGAGGAGGGAAGGAAGCAATTGCATCGAGACCAAGGTCCAAGTGTTCCTCCACATGTTCGGGGTATAACTTCTAGTCTTAACCTCAGCTCGAGTGATTCAATAAATCCGCCGCAGTTTCTGGAACATGATCCCTTTTCAGACAGCAGTGTACGAGAGCCACTGATAGGACAAAACAGCCGGTCGCCTTTGCCCATACCGCGACCGGGCAATGTCACTAGAATGACACTGGGTGACAGCGTGAGGAGCGTGTACAACAGGGCAACACTCGTCAAAATTAAACACCAACGCAAGTATTGGATCCGGCTGTTGATCGAATATGCGGCATATATCATCGGTGTTGTTTTTGTATACTTCGTTCTGGTCGGATTGCCCTTGTGGAAAGGTGCTGTATACTGGCTCTATTGGGTGATGCAACATAAGTTTGTATTCTCCGGTGGCTGGGCGATCTTTATTTTTCTGCTTATATTGTAAGTTGCCCCCCTCTCTTGAAAAGACGGCGGGATTCCTCGAATACAGTATTGTAGTCGCGCGGCTCATGGAGGTTTCTCATTACAGCTATTCGTTTGCGCCGCTTCTTATCACCTTTGAGAATGACTTCCCAGGGCCAGATTATTATCAACAACGCCGTATTGGCCCAACTGCGCCAAACACGGCTCTTCTGATCCCATGCTATAGGGCTGGCCCCATCATTGGTCGGACTCTCGAGGCTGCGTTGAAAATCTTTCCAGCCTCACAGATCTATGTGATTGCCAATGGTGACTCGCCCACTCCTATAGACGATACCGAGGAGGTATGCCGAGTCCACGGCGTCAATCATATCTGGTGTCCCGTTGGCTCCAAAATAGTTGCGATTTTCATCGGCTGTCATGCAGTCAAATCCTTTCGCCACGTCCTGCTCATCGATGATGATTGTCTCCTACCCCCGCATTTCCCTGTGGCCGTTTCTCGGTTAAACCAGCAAGTCCGCTGCATTGGGTACACAATCAAATCCGTTGGCTCCGACTCTCGACTAGGCTCATATTGTCAACAGGCACAGGACCTCGAATACAAACTAGCTGGCTTACAGCGCAGTTTCGCCGGACGCATTGGCAGCGCGACCTTCCCCCATGGAGCTATATCCTTATGGGAAAGAGGGTTCTTGAAGGAGACTCTCCAGCACCATCCAGGTTTCTCCATTAGTGAGGATTGGTTCATGGGAAACAGTTGCCGGCGGCTTGGGGGAAGGATTCAAATGTGCAGTGCTGTCTTTGTCGAGACTACAACGCCGGCTGCTCTCTTCTTCGTTGATCGGGGCTCAAGTAGAGGCGGCTTCGGCGAAACAACCGTTTTCAAGCAGAGATTTCTGCGGTGGAATTTCTTTGTGGCAAATGGGATATGGTATAATCTATTGTACCTTGTTAGGTCTTGGAGGTTGGGTAGGTGGGAATTCGGCGCGAAGCTCTTCGTTATTCAGGAGGTATGTAGCTACCTGCTCATGAAGCAAGGTCCTGGATGTTCCAGTGGCTAACCTAGAGTGTTGAGCAGGTCTACGAGACCCTGCTGTATGTGTTCACTCCGTTCATATTCCCCATTGCCTTCATTGTCCGTCCCGCGTTCTGTGTTGCCATCTTGGGGGCAACTCTGGCTTTGTACTTGATCAATGTCATTATCTTCAACGCGATTCATCTGCGTCAGAAGGACGAACGGGTCGGTTGGAACGTTGTTCTCTGGTACTATGTAGGTCATACAATGTTCCCTGCTGCACCGGACTTCACGCATAAATCCTGACACATTGCAGATGCCTTACAAGATCTTCATCACTCTTACAAACGTTGCCAGTTGTTATTGGTCACTCTTCAAATATGCACGGTATTTTGCAAAGCGACACCCCAAACTCACCGAAGACCACAAAGCTGTTGGGATGGTGCTGAGGTTGGAGGAGATGGCAGAGAGTCGCCGACGACGCGGCAAATTAGGCAGGAGGATGACTGTCAGGTCTCTTGGTGTACAGAGGAAAGATGGTAGCATCGCTGAAAGTCAAGCTTTTTCTGCGCTGAGCAGTTACTCTTGACCAGGTAGGCTAATATAGGAATGTTTCCAAATTATTGATACTGGCTGCAACATATCGCGTGCTTGGAGAAAGCTGCTTAGAATGTGATCCAGCTTCGCGACATGGGGTACCCTTTCTGATTCGTATACCTCCGAGAACGCAGACAGGAAAACAAAAAGGAAAGACCCAGGATCGTCGCAAGACATTAGCAATGATGCTTGACTGAGAGATACGCTTCCGAAGTTACACACGGAAACGGGAAAAACACCAAGAGGAGATAACCCCACTACTACTGTGGCCAATAGTACAAGGAAATAGCAGCGACTGAGTGAGAAGGTATAAGCGAAACTGAGTATGTTCGACCGTATTACGGTACGGGGGCTCGCTCCATCACGGCTGGTGTTGCGGCCATGAATAACTTACCCTTACCTCTTGCGGCGGAAGCGAAAACGGAGTTCATCATCACTGTCGGAGTCGCGCTCTTCTCGAGATCGTTTCTGGCTTCGAGGGGCGATTGGCTCCGACTCTATCCGAGCAAGAGATTGAGACCGCGATTCTCTGGTGTCTTGCTCGCTTGCAGAAGGTTCTCGGCGATTTTCCGTCTGAGTATTGTCGGCAGATTTGCTACTGCTAACCCAGTAGTGCTCGCCGATGCCAAAGGCCTTGCGTGTCACTTCTTCCAGCGGGACAATAACTGTCTGTAGCCTATGGCGAGATCGGTTCCGATCGCCTTTTTTGCGGAACTTTTTGAAATTCTTCCGTCCATTCCATCGCTCATCCCACCGGCTGTCCTCATCAGCAATCTTTCGGACCGGCATCTCCATCTCTTCCACAATAGCGAGTCCTTTTAACTTTTCAATATCTTTCAGAGAGTTCTGGAGCTCAGCTTCTTCTTCCTCTCGGCGTTGACGTTGGGCATCCTCTTCTGCCTCTCGATGTTGCCGAGCAGCCTCGAGCACGTCTAACTTCTGACGTTTAGGTTGGTGCACTTCCTCCTTAAGGCGGGGTGTTGATTCATCCATGGTTCTTTGGACAGTCTCAGCGCGACGACGTTTCATCGCATTAGCTCCAGGAAGAAGTTGAGAGAGTACGTCTTCTTCCTCCTGCATATTAGTGCGCGGCTGTGTCTGTTGCCCTGATGAAGATCCTATATCCATAGCCGGCAACGAATCCACAACAACATCCTCGTCATCCGGAGGATGAGCAGGGATGGCATTAATGTCAAACCCATCATCAAAGGTTTTCATCTTACTGACAAAGCTGCGCACGCGCGGGCCTTTTGACTGCGACTTAGTCGGTTGACTATGTTCCTCAACTGCCTGAGAATCGACGATTTGAACGTTCTCCACGGGTGTCAAGGCAGGTTGTGATGCCGGCGTCGCGCTTACTTCCTGGCTTGACGTGGGCTCCGGTGATGGTAGTGTGCGGCAGAGGGATGAGGCATCGTTTGCTAAAATTGCGTCGAGAAATTCACTCTGTTCAATCACGCGCTGATTGGTTTGAAGCGCAACTTGATTGCTCAGCTCGATTGACCACTCCTCGTAGCCTCCCTTTGCACGGAACCGAACAAGAACAACCCCTCCGGGCCCATCTCTTTGACTCCCTAGACCTTTTTCACCGGCTGCATTCCTCATAAACTGTGCGATGTCGTCTGCTGCAGTTACCCCATTCTCAACATGATACAGCAAAGCCTTCCCGTGCCCATTGGCGATGGGATCATGCAGGTTTTCGAATTGTGCGGCATCACCAAAGACAAATGTATAACCTTCGAATAGGTTAACGCGATCTGGGATAGGTGCAAATGCCTCGGCTGGTCTATGGACAAGTTCTTTGCCGGGCGGTGGAAGGTGCTTAGTTGGATCTGGCCATGCAGAGTCGAAGTCGACCTCCAACGGGGAAAGTGACTCTAGGTTTTCAAGGTCACTCGGTGTCGCAGCGTAGACAAGTGCATCGATGTATGAGTTCGCAACAATGTGTTTCCCATTCACCAGCGCCTGTAAGCCTTTTGCTGTGTTACGTTTGCTCTGTACAACATGTGTTGTTTTGTCAACGATATATGGGATGATTGTTTTAATATCTAGATCTTCAAGGCGTGAACGGACATGGGCTAGAGGATCTTTCGCCTTGAGCTCCTTAGACGAGAAAGAAAATGTAAGCACGGTAGGCTGCCATTTAATCCTAGTAAAAAGTCCCCGTTAGCCGGTGTATGACGGTTTCTGAGGACACACTCACCGCAGCAAATGTTGATATCTCCCCAACTTGATTGTATGCTCTTCACCGGTCAGACTGACACTCTCGCCCCGTATTTGGTTTCCATCCACTACCGTTCCACATTTGGAGTTCTGGTCGATCACTGTAATTTCCGACTTCGCGTAGATTTGTGACTATGCAAGTCAGCGACCAAAAAGGAAGTATCAGCAAGAACAAGCATTGTACCCCATCACCATCTTTAACTGAAGAAATTTCGATCACCATGTGCTTTCGCGATATTGAGCTATGTTGTATGGCATGTCGGACTAAGAAATGGCCAGTTAGTATAATTTATTCGAGGACGGGGAAAGGGGGAAATTACCGCCATCTTGTCTGATCCGGCCAAAGAGATACTTCTGCCCTGGTCGTAACCAGACGCGCTTTCCTCGAAAATTGTTAGCAGACAACTGACAATTCGGCAGCATGAGCATCACATACTATTCAAGAGATCTCCATCCGAATCCAGGATCCACATGAGGGGCAGTGAGTTCTGATGCGATGCTCCTGGTGTTGGAGTGCAGATGACATCGAACGCACGTGAAGGCATCACCCGCAACACGTGATCACGTGACCAGGCGTCTCAATGCTGCCTGCTTGGGAAAGACCGCGTCCCCCGGATTTCGTATGAATTATCGCGGCGGATCAATGTATGAAATATGGAACCACGGGGCGAGACGCCTCCTGACGAGGTGCCATCTACCTCAAAGGGAGTATCCAATGAATATGCGACATTGAAATATCAATTATTAGGTCCCTCGTTGACCAAAGCCGGTCAGGATGCGGTTGACCAGCAGAAGGTGAGCGCTACACTGGCTTCATGTATAGCTAAAGCGACCACTGAACGAACGTCAAGGTATCGGAAATAATATACAACGCATCTAAAGGATCGAAATTCTTTAATCATGAGCAAAACCGCGACCGGATCCTGACGGAAAAGATTGAGCGCATCTTGAAAGAGAAGACCCGTCTTGAAAATCTAGATTTGTCTTATGACCTACGGAGGGCGGATCAGCTTCTAGATGAGTTGGAACTTAGTCGGGACTTGTCGCAATACATCGTCCACGTCGACTGCGATGCTTTCTTTGCTGCAGTCGAAGAACTGGACCGGCCGGAATTGAAAACTGTCCCTTTTGCTGTGGGCAAAGGGGTCTTAACTACCTGTAATTACGAGGCTCGAAAGTTCGGCTGCCGAAGTGGGATGGCCTCATTCGTAGCCATGAAACTGTGCCCGCAGCTCATCTGCCTTCCTATAAACCACCAGAAGTACGGTGCCAAGGCACAGGAAATTCGGGCTATCTTCGCCCAATATGACCCACTCTTCGAAAGTGCTAGTATAGATGAGGCGTACTTAAACATAACCGCCTATTGCACCGAAAACCAAATCGATCCGGAGGATGCTGTCAATCGCATGCGCGCGGAGGTATTGGAGCAAACGAAAATCTCGGTGTCTGCTGGCATCGCAGCTAATGCAAAGATCGCCAAGATCGCATCCAACCGCAACAAACCAAACGGTCAGTTTCGTGTCCCTAACGATAGAGACGCTATTATGGAATTTATGAGTGATCTCCCCGTGCGAAAAGTGAACGGTGTTGGCCGAGTCTTTGAGCGTGAACTGGACGCAGTTGGGATTAAGACATGCGGCGATATTTATGCTCAACGCGCACTGTTGGCCAAGCTGTTCGGTGAGAAGGCATTTCATTTTCTGGCTCAGTGCTACCTTGGGTTGGGGAGAACAAAGATTCAACCGGTGGAAAACTATGAGCGAAAAAGTGTCGGCACTGAGAGCACTTTTAATGAAATGGGGGGTAAGGAAGCTCTCAGAGAAAAGCTCTGGGCGATTGCTCAGGAGCTCGAGAAAGATTTGACTCGGACTGAATTCAAGGGCCGCACGTTGGTGCTTAAAGTGAAGTTGGCCACATTCGAGGTTCTCTCCCGACAGTGTCAACCACCAAGAGCGGTGCTTCTGGCTAAGGACCTCTATACGTTCTCCCTTCCAATGCTAGAAAAGCTGGAGAAGGAGATCCCTAACATGAAACTGCGTCTTCTTGGCCTTCGCTGCACCAATTTGGTAAGCACCAAGAAAGGGGGGATTGACTTCTTCGGTTGGGCCACGCGTTCCAAACCTACTGTTGACTCGACTTCAGATGCAGCTGAACAAGAGATCAGTGCGGAAGAAGCATTTGAGAGAGCTGCTCGCCAGGAGATACAGGAGGACATGAACGACCTTGAGAGGCTCAGCCAGGAAGTATCTGAGCCTAACGCAGCTGATCAGTCTGAAAAAAACCCTGCCACCCCGTCTGAACCACAGCCTACGTATTGGGATTGTCCGGTTTGCTCAAAACCACAGGTTGCGGATGACCGAACATTCAATGAGCACGTCGATTTCTGTCTCTCAAAACAAACCATTAAGGAAGCCATACAAGGAGCTTCGCAAGATGCTGAGCCTATCCCACCGAAACCGCGGAAGAGGAAGAGCACGTCACAGGAGCCTGTTGACCCGCGCCAAAAGCGACTGTTCTTCACATGATACGGTTATCTTCCAATGACTGAAGATACGTAACCCGAGCAACATCATGATCTTTTGCCGGGCAACAGGCACATCATGAGGTTCATTCATCCGTCCGGGCAAAAAAAGAATCAACTTGTTTCACATATATCTTGGAGAAAGCTGTCTATCTATGGAGCGCATTGGTCAGACTCCACCTTGCATCTTGCCGTTATGGCCGTGGTTAAGATTGAAACAGGCGTTTCCTGTAAGACATTGTGCCGGCCACGATAAGGAAAACCTTGGAATATAGATCTCATCTGAAACCTGGCATGCTAGTTGTATATTCTCCTTGCATGGCTCGTCTCCAATGCACTAGCCGCCGATCCCGCACCATCGGCAATTTTTGTTGATATGGAGCGGGCAAATATTAGGTGTATATAAATTCTTGCCGCAGAGAAGGCAAGAGAGGGAAAGAGAAAAGCTAAATAATAATACCTTTAGAGATTTTGTGCTCGCTAATGGGAAAGGGTGAACTTGGCAGATTTTTCTCTCCTTTGCCATCTGCCGATGTTGATCGGGATGGGCCGGTGCATCAGCATGCATGAGGGTGGACTGACGCCGAAAGGGAGATTGGGGGTTTTGAGACTGTATGTAAAACATTCGAGTCCAGATCTAATACGTAGATCTTTTTTTTTTCCGATAACATTCCAATGCTATTTTGCACCTGAGGAATTCCCCAGAATGTTTCACCTTATTGTCCCTCTTATCAATTTGACAAGTTCCTGGGGAATCCAGATTTCTGATATGCTTTCCCGTCCTTGGAATGTAGTCCAGAGTAACAGGGAATCATTTTGCGGTGAAAAACGACACTAAACTTGATTCGGCGACATGTTTGGGTTAGTGTCGTTAGATTTGGTTTAGTTCGGCATCACTTCGACATCTGAACCGTTGTTGCGGTGTTGGCACAACAAAAATCACCTCCAAACTCACCACTTCCTTTCCCCCCCCCCCCGTTTCCCGACCCTCCAATATTTTTTATGATCTCCTCTCACTAATAACGCAACCTCCGTCTGCTCTGTTAGTGCCCCAGCCAGCTCATTCCTTTTTTTTCTCTGGCTGGTACCACCATGCTTGCAGATCTTCGTGGAGTACCGCAATGTCATGAGTCGCCCTCCTTTCCGCCCCTCGAGTCCCGTAACTATGACCTCCGATAAACAAACCGCCAACGGCCCCGTCGCCAAACCCTTCACCCCCTCACTCAGTGCAGCTTTCAACCGATCCACCAAATCCCCTCTAACTCCAAAACTTGCCAACCCGGGGGGGTACCGCACTCCCAGACGATTGACCCCCTCCGAACACCCGGCCTCCATCTCCAAGCCGGATGCCGAGTCGGTGTACCTCAGTGCCAACGTTACCCCTCGATCCGGTACTCGCACGAGTAGACGCGATGGACCAACATCTACCCCGAACACGCCCTCGAGTGGACACTACTCGCCTTCTTACATATCAACTGGTGGCTCAACAGTAGGAAAGCGGACAGACCGGAGTCCTGTCCGGACGGGGGGCAAGCCTGAGCCTCCGAGAACCACCAGGGCTAAAACCTTGACAACGGAACCTCAGCGTTCACGACCGAGTTCTGTCTGTGGAGCACCCTCAAACACACCTAGGTTTTTCCACGCTTCCGATGCGCGATCGAATCCAGATGTTGATAACCGACCGAAGGCTGTGGCGAAACCATCACACCCCACTTTTGTATATGCTAATGGGGAACAAGAGGGCCCATCGGAAGAGCTCAACACAGCGCCAGTGTACAAACGACGCTCGACCGGGCTAACTCGCTCTGTTGTTGGCTCCAAACCTCCGTCGGCATCCCCGCGATTGGCATCCCCCAGGCTAAATGCCTCTTCTCCCCGACTGTCGGACGGTATTGGTTCTCAGGCCGGCTCGCAGGTTGGCTCACAACTCAGTCCACAGCCTGGGCCACAATTTGGCTCTCAGGCTGGCACTCGATTTGACTTTGCCCCCCAGATAATCTCGCACATGCCGAGCCCACCCATGAGTCACTTTTCTCCGAAACCAACTACACCAGCTCCGAGACACATGAAATCATCCAGTGTCGATTCGGGACATGGTGCTACCTCTCCAAGAGAACCATTGCGACCAAGTCCTATCATAATATCTCCGTCCGACATTAAAATTGACGCTAGCGCTGTTGCTTCCGAACCAATTCCAGGACTCCGACCACGAGTTTTTAGCAATGGATCCGCAGCCTCTGTGGAGACCCATGATTCTTCGCTACAGAGTCCAGCCAAGTCTGAATCGGGGCAAGCCAAAGACGATGTGGCTATTAGTGCCCGTACGGAGCGTAAGATCCTTGATCTCGAAATCAGTAACTCGTCACTCCTCGCAATTAATCGCACGCTCGAACGCGAAATGCGGAAGCAAAATGCGGAGCTGCGAAGATATCGGCGTCTCAGCCGTGCGGGTCGCCTGTCCGTGGCACCCTCCAGCCGTTCCGTTTCTGGTGCTTCTTTGGGTATCATGGCCGAAGCGGACGAAAGTGATGAACATGAACACTCTTCCGTCCAGTCACCGGAGGAACTGTCCGAGTTAAGTGATGAGGATTCTGTCATGGATGAGGGCGTTCTTAGTCCTGATTCCTTGGCGGAACATGATGCGCGACATCGCGCCCAGGACGAGAAGAAGTTTTTCATCGACCTTGCTAAACATCAAGAGCTTTTGGCTGACAGCCAGAAAATGAACCAGAGTCTTAAACGCTGCCTCGGTTGGACAGAGGAGCTAATAAAGGAAGCCAAGAAAGCCCTTGAGTATTCCGTGCATGTAAATGACATCCAACTCGGAGGGCGAGTCCTCGCACCAGAGGAAATAGCCGATCTTCGAGAAAGTGGCCGGGGTCTACTGAGAGCGAGTGATTCTCAGGACCTCTCTTACCTACCGGAATTACCAGACTCAGAGCCAGACTCAGAGGCTGACGAGGCCACGGAGGCTGCCACAGAGACAGCCTAGACGGGACACTCTAACGTTGCCATTAACACCACAACAATCTTGTATTTCTTTTTCTTTTGTTTACCATACTCGGCGGCACGTCTACATGATATGGCCTTCCCATTCCACTCAGCAGCTGTTTTGCATCGTGGCCAATGCTGGCATTGTCCGAGCGGGATACCCATCGTTCTCTCCCGTCATTTTCTTCTTTTCAATCTGATTTCCTCTAATCTCTGTAAGCGATAGATGGCCGGCTTTCCTCTTGGTAACCGTTGCTAGATACCCATACGCATAATGAGTTTGACATGTTCGAGTATATGGATTATGAAGGCACGATAAACAGACTAACTCTCTAGATATAACTGAATGACATTAATTTAACGATGATCTAGCCACAGGCATACGTAATTGACCGTACACCGAACGTAACCCTAACTTCATCACAGCAACTGAACATCCAAAAAAAAGAGAACACGAGCGCCATTAAAAAACCTACGACCGTAAAACCCACATAATACGGAGGGGAAAAACTCAGCCGCAGGAAAAAGGCAACTCATCACTAACACCTTAACAAGATATCTCTACCCCCTGCCCCCAAGATAAATCAAACACTCCCGCGCCTTCTCCTTGTCCTCACTACCCCTAGGAGGAAGGGAAGAAGATGAAGAAGAAAACAACCGATCGATATCCAAACCCCCACAACCAAAATCCACATCAACATCAACCTCCACACTCCCCTCCCTACTCGACCCAACTATCAAATCCCACAACCCAGCCAGCCCAACATCCCTCACGGCCCCGCTCCAAGCCCTAACAGGGACTTCCCTCGCCGCCTCCAACCTAACAACAGGCACCAGCCGCCTAAGACTAGAAACACAAGCCACACCCACACCGAACCCCCGAACGCAAATGCCATGGTACCGGAATACCTGGTCAATAAGCCAGGTAACCCTGTGCCCGACCTTCCTGCGCCCCCAAGTTTTGATAGGGGATATTTGGTCGAGAGCTTTGTGCCAGGCGTATCCTGGATATGACCCTCTAGAGTAAGAAGTCTTGTCGAGAGAGTATATGGAGTCCATGGGGCTGGGTCGTTAATTAACTCATGGATATTAGAGTCGAAGTTCCTAATCACCAAGTTTTCGCCGCGGAAGACAGGGATGCCGCATTCCCTTCTCTTGAGGAACGCAGATACATCGTTCTGTTTGAGAGTAGTGAGGAGGATGGTTGGGTCGTGAATGATGAGACATCCACCTTCATTGTCATCGTCGTAGTCAAGCTCCCATGGTGTCTGTGGAATATACGGATGCCTGGTCGGGGCGACGTTATTGGAAATGGAATTATCGAAGTTCAGTCCAGGGTCGAGATCCCATTCGTTCCAGGATGCGGTGGTAGTACCCGAGTCACTGGAGATTTCGTCCTCGAAGGAGACGAGGTTGTCGTTTAGAGGTGTAAAGAAGGATGTTAGGGGTGATCTTGTGGTGGTGGGCCAGGAGAAGAGGCTTTCGATGTCGTCTCTAGTGATGCCTTTGAGGGATACTAGGGAGGTTGTGGAGGCGGATGAGCAGATGATGGGCTCTGTGCTTGAGATTCTGTTGCATATGTCCATGGTTATCTTTGTGTAGGAGGATGAGATGGTGGATGAGTGTGTTTCGTTGGTCAATTTGTCGGTGTGGTTGTCTGAGACTGCAGACATTCTAGATACTTGTGGGTGTGTATGCTGGCTTCGATATCGTTATAGTTTCGTATGTTGTGGATTGATATGAATTATTGTGATGATCTCTTACTTAGACTGGGTAGTTTCGTGGCTGTGGTGTTGTAGTAAACTCGTTGTAGTGCTGGGTGAAAGGGGCGAAGACGGTTAGTCTACGAGGGTGTGAGTATAGATGGAGGCAGAAAACTTTTACGAAAGGATGAGATCTTTGTGACGACTGTGCAAACGAGATAATCATAGCAGTCTAGGCTTCAATGTTCAGCTTGGCAATGCCCTGTGACTAATCCATTGACTATAACACAGACACTGCTATTCATGGTGATATTAATGTATGTGCCTACAAAATGCGATGTACATGAGAACTATGATTCACTAACATTAGGTGGTCACTCATGTAGAATGCACATCGTCATGACCCACAGATCACTCAGGGCGTCCATCACCAACCTGGTGACCGGCCGTGTAGTTCCCAAAACAAGCATACTGGTACTCGGCCTTTTCCTTCAGCTTGGAAACACCCTTCAGGAAGTCCTCTACATCACAGAAGCCATTGATAGAGCTTTCACATCCATCTAGGCCTTCCTGCGATACCGGGGAACCGTTCAGCACGAACCGAATAACATCTGTGGTGTCGGATGTCGAGGAAAGATCCGGATTCTTGTACAGCGCGCCATCAAGTTGATGGAAGTTAGTCTTTTCCGGGCAAGTCCAGATCTCGGAAATCAGATGTGCCCCGAAAGGTGTAACCTCGTTGAGCTTAAAGGTACGAGGGACAGCGTGAACCACATCGTCAGGCAGGCCCTTCGATCCATAGTTGAAGTACTTGAGACCTAGAGCGGCTAGAACTCCAACAATCACATCATCATGGGACATGTCCATATACAATGGTTGGTTGAGAGGGAATGTGGCAGGCTTGGAGTCGATGGTGGTGTTGATACTCGTATCGCTGGTCTCGATCCGCTTGCCCTCTAATCTGGCTGCCAGCTCCAAAACGTATCCGATGCCTTGAGCGCGGCCAGTTGGGGCGCCGAATCCATAGTTACCATAGAACTGGAGATCAACAAAATACTCGAAATCGCGCCATTCCTGCTCCGTGAATAACGAGCAGAACGACGAGCTGCCTAGCGCTGCTGTTTCGTACGGACAGAGACTGAACATGCCCACCACATCGTAGGCCGTGAGGTTGAAATCAGAAGGAAGGAAATGCGACAGCCGCTTCAGGGCATCCTTAGTAAGATTTGGGATGAACTTTTCTCCCGAATCATCGCTGAAACAGTCAGCATACAGTATATTGCGTATGAAACTAGTGCTTACCCTTCTTCCAAGTCTCCTGGGCAGGAACCGTCGGACGCCAGAGTGTTGTTGAACCCGGTGCCCTCGTGTGTTATAACAAGGTCATACTCGGAATAGGAGCTATTGGCGCCAGTATTTCCAAAGAAGCCGCCTAACAAGTCAGCACAACAAAATTACACCAACTAGTGACAAACGTACTCAACCACCAGCGAGCGCTCTCCAAAATTCTAGCCTGGTCTGTCGTCCTGAAGATCGGTTTCGGTCGCTCGGTCCCATTAGGATAGACATTCAAAGAAGAATCGTAAGATGCGACGCCGAGAGGGGCCCGATAAAGTGCGCGTCCATACTTCGACCAGATGTTTGCGCCGGACGTTGCCTCCGTCGCAGCACCAGATACGAGCAGGAGGTCCTCTCCGAGTACATACTCCCACTCATTCAAAAACGACAAAGCTCCTTTGCCAACCGTCGCGTTGTCATGGCGCTTGGTGTATTTCTTGAGCTTCTGGGCAAAATCTTCAATTACGCCACCGTCCAGTTTCCACGACGTAGGATAGCGCTGTGCGTGTCTGTGGAGGACATGGGCCTGGGAAAGCTCACAGCCTCTGGGGACACCGTTCGGCACCTCGAACCCAGGCTGGTCCTTATAAGGGCTAAGGTTGCCCCAGCTGGTAGACATGTCAAATCCAGAAGGGTAGCTGGCCCCAGTCGGACCAGATGCCGCGGCCGATGAGCTTGAGGTGGGTGATGCATCGCCTACTACTGCCTGAAAGGCGAGTAGGGCTGCCGTGGAATGCAATAACTGCTGCATCTGAGGCTTAATGCGAATTTATTCGAACGGTTGATAATCGGGATGCAAGGTGAAAGGGGGTGGTGGTAGGTCTTAAATAATATAAGTTCCCCTGTGACGGCCGGTGAAGGCAGGCAGATAAGGAATTGGGCTATTTAAGCCAACAGTCAAGCCATATTGTTTTTAAGTGCTCAAGGGTGGATCTACGCTGCACCTTCCGTTTACGAGGATCGGACATTCCGCAAGGTATCATCGTCCCTGCGGATCGGTGCAATCCGCCAGTGAGAGGCGCCTGGATTTGGACTAAGGATGCTTAGCGGAATTAGTCTGCTATTAGTGGGTAATGCATAGCCTGATCGATTGGGTGGTTTATCAGGTAAGACATGGGGAGGAGTTATAGGCAGTTAGTTATAGGGCTTTGCTTCCCGGGGTCGCTGAGCCGAAGGTCCGAATGGGGTATGTGCTCACGCGATCATCGATTCTCCTCATGTTGTACTAGCATCTACTTCTATAGCGGTGACATAATTTTTGCGGGGTTACACGTCCCGGACTTCGACGATCAGATCTAACCGAGCAATTGGAGATTGTTATTCGCGTCGTCTTTGTGGTAATTCTGTAATAATAACCTAGCCTATGAGGGAGTTAGGAGAGTTGTGAACTACTAACCCTACCCAAAGTATGCATGCTAGAGCTACGCTATCTACCATTTCTCAATATCCGGGTATACTGGGAATTATTATTCGGAAGACGGATGGGGAAATTCTGGTTTAGATATCGAATAACTTGAACCCTTGTAGAAAGGGGTTCGGCTATTCCTGTCAATCCTCCAAGATATATATATAATCGCCCAGGTACCCAGAAAGGATTCCAGCATTGAGAACAATTAAGCACTTTGAGAGTAAGAAAACTTAGTATTATTACATACAACCGAGATATATGGTTTTTGGCCAGAGCCATAGGTGAAGCTGCGGATTGCTACAACTGGAGGTAGAACAGGTATCCAACAATCTAATCCGCCCATGAACAACCAGACAACGCTAGGGCATGAAGGCACAAAATGGTACATTAAGAAAAGAAGAGATGAGAAGGCACAGAAAGGTATGCACAAAACACAAGGGGTAATCGATTATGTATCGAGAACAGGTATCTAAGCGGTGGATTCTTCAACGTGTTCATGCTTGGACTTCTTCTCCTTCTTCTTCTTCTCCTTCTCATCCTTGCCCTTCTTCGTCATGGCATCGGCCATAAGTTGCTCAAACGCCATGTAGTCTCCCTCCTCCTCGGGGTCACGTTCCGCCTGCACTGTGTTAGTATCCCAGCATGCTAGAAACGTGGAGGCATTGATTGTGCTTACCTTCTGATAAATATTACCCGCAATGACCAGGGCATGAGCACGTTCAACACGCTTGTCCAATTTGATCTTCTTGTCGCCAAGGACTTGATCACACACATCGCGCAGCACGCTCTGTATCTCGAACTTGCTACCCCGCCAAGCAGCCGCCAAGATCTTGCCTGTGACCTTCTTCTCGTACTCGGCTCTCTTCTCGTCGGTCCAGTCTTCGCCACCACGTTCTTCCAGCTTGGCCATCTCCTCCATAGTCATCTGCGCATCAATGGCTGTTGAGATGGTGGTCCATGTCTCCTTGGCGAGGGTACCCTTGTCCTTCAGCCGGGAGAAGAAGCCCGAGATACCGAGGAATTTCTGGGACTTCAGGAACGAGCTACCTTTCTGGACGTATGTCTGACCGATCGCATGCAGGATTTCAAGACCGAAGGACTCCATCTTCAGATTCTCTACCTCGAGACGGATCTTCTCCTCAAATGCGCGTGTCACATCGGCGCCCTTGTCCGTTTCGGTCCAGACGCTGATCTTGTCCACCAGCTTCGTGGCCAATGTGTTGACTCGTTCTTCGCGGGCCTTCTTTCTCTCCAATTCGTATGCAGCTAAGCGCTCCTCCTGTTCCCGAGACAAACCGCCCTTCTTTTTGCTCTTCTTGTGTAGCTCCTTCTCCTCCGCAGACAGACCAGCTGCCTCCATCCGTGCCTCTTCCTCTGACTTGTCCATGATGGCTTGTTGACCAAGGTAGCGACGAGGCGTACTTGTGCCGGAGCTGGGCGTTGCAGTGGGTTTCTCGGATTTCTCTTCATAAGCATCCGCAGCGGTTGCACTAGCAGCAGGAGCAGGAGCAGGAGTAGCAGCAGCGCCCTCCGCGGAAGTGCCAGCCGCCGATTTGGCGTCTTCCTCGTGGATATTCAGTTTCTCCTCCGCGGATGCAGCCAGTTCATCCTCCTCCATCTCTTGCATGGTGATATCCATCGTAGTGGTGAGATCCTTCATAAGAGAAATTTCACCGATAAGGTCGACGAAAGCATTGCCACCAAAGATCATGCTGAAGAACTCCGACGGGTCCTCTTCAACCGGGTATTAGCCAAGAATAAATTATCCGCGGCACCAAAGCACACATACCGAAACCACCACCGGGGACTGCATCCTCCTTGCCAAACTTATCATATCGCTTTCGCAGTTCTTCATCGCTGAGGACTTGGTAGGCTTCTCCAATCTGGTGGAAATAGTAAGTATCAAGAGCTAGTGGGCAGACATCTTTATAGCGAGGCGAGAACTAGCTTACCGCCTGAAATCTCGCATGCGCAGTCTCATCTCCGGGGTTCTTGTCTGTGGGCAGTCAGGATCAAGAGAAGGTTTATGACGTGAGCGAGTGAAGTATACCAGGGTGAGTGACAATGGCAAGTTTGCGGTATGCCTTTTTGATCTCAAGTTCGGTTGCCGTGGGAGGCACCCCCAGGGCATCGTAGTACGTAGTATCTGCGACCATAATGCGGTATTTTGTGGAGTTCAACCCAACAGGACGTATATCCCGGCTATCTCCAGGACCACAGAGCAGTAAAATCTAAGAATACGAAAAGAAGTAGAGAAGAGGAACAGAAAATAGGAGACCGAAGAAGACGACCACAACAGTCGGCGTCGTCGTCGTAGTAATATTGATAGGTACACAACCAACTTTTTTTTTCTGCCTGACGATGCTTTCCGACGGGAGTTTCGTCATGCGCGGGGCGCCCATGACTTTTGTCCGGACCCCAAAAGGGACCATTATTGTCATCGTATTGTCATGCCGGCTGTCAGCCACAGCGCTTGATGTTGTTTACCTCGATGTATTAGTCGTAATTACGCGTCATGCGCACCAGCCTCTCCGCCTAGACACGCTAAGAGGCTCTAGCCACAAGCTACTAGTACTAACTAGAGGCTCCCGCAACCGAACGTGCGTCTTTGTTCCTCTCATTTTAAAATCCCTGCTTTCTTTCTTCCTTTTCAACAACCACTCTCTCCCTCCTCTCCTCCCTTTTTTTTCCCCTACTCTATTTTACCTCGAACCTCCCTAATTCCCCCTTCTCACCTTTCACCTCTCACTCAATTGCCCTACCTTATTCCCATATATCCCTTTTATATCCCCTCAGTCCCCTCTAGTTTGTGAGACTATTGGCAATCTGTCCGCTACTACTGTACAGTAACAATTCGGAACCTCCGTACCCTTCCACTCCTAACATTCTTGTTTCCCTTCTTTTCTGTATGAATATTGCGTTTTGACACAGCGTATCTATTTAATTTGTTGCTATTGCTTAATTTGCCTTTCCCCTTTTTTCTTCCCTGTACCGTGCCCCGTGCAACCGCCATCATGCGTGCTACCGAAGTGCTCTATTATATGCTCCGCCCCAGCCAGTTGAGGTCTATCGTTCAATGGTAAGTTCCCATATCCTCGACCTGCATTATTTTCCACTGTGAAGGTGTATGTGCCAACGCTTACAGAGGTTCATTTTTCCCCCGCGATAGGAAAGTTTGGCACAACCCTGTCCATGAACGCAAGGTGCAGGATGAAACAGAAACGCAGAAGGCCTGCTTCAACTTCCTCGACTTGACAAGTCGGAGTTTCAGCGCTGTGATTAAGGAGCTTCATCCCGAACTGCTACTTCCTGTTTGCGTTTTCTACCTAGTTCTTCGCGGGTTGGATACCGTCGAAGACGACACATCGATTCCTCTGAAAACCAAGGAGCCGATGCTGCGTGAGTTCAAGGACTACCTGGAGCAGGATGGCTGGACGTTCGATGGGAACCGCCCCGAAGAGAAAGACCGTGAACTGCTGGTTCAGTTTCACAACGTCATTACTGAGTTCAAGAACATGAAGCCGGCCTACCGGGAGATCATCAAGGATATCACTGATAAGATGGGCAATGGTATGGCCGATTACTGCCGAAAGGCGGAATTAGAGGATGCCAGCGTCAAGACAATTGAGGAATATGATCTCTACTGCTACTATGTCGCCGGCTTGGTGGGTGAAGGGTTGACTCGCCTCTTTGTTGAGGCTGAGTTGGCTAACCCAGCACTGCTCTCCCGTCCACGTCTACACAAGTCCATGGGACTCTTTCTGCAGAAGACTAACATCATTCGTGACGTACGGGAAGACCACGATGATGACCGACATTTCTGGCCCAAAGAAATTTGGTCCAAGTATGTCACCGAGTTTGAGGATCTCTTCAAGCCCGAGAACCGCGAGACTGCTCTCAACTGTGGATCCGAAATGGTTCTCAATGCTCTGGAGCACGTCGAAGAGTGTCTGTTCTACCTCGCTGGCCTGCGGGAGCAGAGTGTTTTCAACTTTTGCGCCATTCCCCAGTCTATGGCCATTGCTACCTTGGAGCTTTGCTTCCGCAATCCGGACATGTTCGATCGTAATATTAAGATCACCAAGGGTGAGGCCTGTCAATTGATGATGGAGTCGACCCAGAACCTTCGTGTTCTCTGTGATACATTCCGCCGCTATGCTCGCCGGATCCATAAGAAGAATACTCCTAAGGATCCCAACTTCCTCAAGATCAGCATTGTTTGTGGAAAGGTATGCTATCACTGCTTTGAATGCTGGCCCATAACCATACTGACGGTTCCCAGATTGAGAAGTTCATGGACACAATCTTCCCCCAGCAAACTGCTGCGGAAGCCAAGCGCAAGGTGCAAGGCGAGCAGTCGGAAGCTGAGAAGGAGAAGGCCAGACAGGAAGCTGAAACGCGCCAGGATCTGTTCTTCATGTTGGCTTTGATGGGTGTGATTGTGCTGATCGTGTCGATCATCATGGTATGTTCTTGACGACATGAATCGTGATGAACTACACTGACCGTTCTTAGATTACAACTGCCTGGTTATTGGGCGCCCGCTTCGACATTGCGTGGCAAGAGCTGAAGACCGGCAACTTCCGCCCACCTGCCAAGAGGATTCCTGGGGAATTGTAAGCGTGAGTTACGGATTTACGACGCCTTTGTTTTATCAGCAGATGACCGCGCATGGCCCTTGTTCATATTACCTTTCTTACCATGACGCTTTATGTTTAACTAATAACGATAATATCTTCTTCCGTTTCATTCTCCCTTTCGCTTACAATATTGCTCGTGTGGGAACAGTGGCCGGTCAACTAGCACGGATGTCAAATTGCAATCTAGCCCTTTCATGGCTGTGGTTGTGCCGAAGAAGTGCTGATATTGAGAGTGAGAATTTCTCCGACCAGTGACGTACTAGATGTGTGTCCTGCAGCTTTGCTGAGATGGCACACCTCCATTGACGATCTGGAACACCCTTGTATCTAACTATCTATGCCTTGTAGTGCTTTGTATATGCATCGTACTGTGATAGTCGATTACTTTAGTAAGAGTTCAATACCATGGTTTTATCATACACTTTTCTTTCCATTTGTAATGTGGTTCATCCCATATTCGTCTGGCCGACAATGAAGCCTACCCCATATCCTAACTCCACATAATATCACCGGTCACTATGAATCCTAAGATCCATCTGGCATCAACATGCGACTACACCCCAACCAACCCAACCAAAGAAATCCCCAAACCCCCATATCCACCCCCCTCAATCTCCCTTGCAGCCTCCACAAAATCCCCAACCGTCAACCTCAACCCAGCCTCCGAAACCAAATCCTCCCTATCCCCAAGAACCCCCCTCTCCAAAGGCCCCGGCATCCCGCCATTCAACTCCCAAACCCTCCCATCCCCACCCTTCACAAACCCCACAAAATGAAACCCATTATCCTCCTCCGGCCCCGGCACCCCCGAACTGCCTCCCCGCGCCGCATCCATATGGGCCTCCTCCAGAAACGAGGACTCATAGACCACCCGCGCCCGATCCCCCGGTGCTAATGAGACCAACTCCTCCCGTAACTTCGCCAACTCCGACCCGCGGGCTAGATGCGTCCCGTTATCGACATTCAGCACGCAGTGCAGGAAGGCCATGAGGCCGCAGGCATGGCCGATTGTCTGGGGGATCCAGATCGGGTCGTTTTCATTGGGAGTGGTGTATTTGGGGAGGGTGGATTGGAGGGTTGAGCGGGCGCGGGTGTAGATGGGTGATGCGGCGAGGAAGATTAGGGCGTTGATGGGATGGGGTAGGTCTGTGGGGGGAGGGGAGAGGGTGAAGATGTCGTGGAAGGTGAGGGTTTGGATTGTGAGGGTGGTGGCGAGGTGGGTGTAGACTTCGGGGTTGTTTTCTGGTTATTATATGTTAGTTGGGTTGATTTATAGTATACTCTGTAGATTGTTTTGGATGGTGGGCGGTGATGTTATGTATGTATGTATGTATGTACCTAGGGGAATGAAGGTCTTGACCCCGTTGATGATTTTGGCGCCGCTGGGGAGTGTGGTTGACATTTTTGTTAGTTGTTTGTTGATAATAGTTGTTTATACTAATTGAGTGATTTGATGATTGCGAAGGAAACTTGAAATGTGGTAGATGTGGTTCTGTTGGATGTTGTTAATTTGTCTTATATCTCTGATTATTATTAGGCAGAGGCGGGTGACGCAATATAGGTATAAAGGAATCGATGCCTGAGGATGGGCTGTTAACCTGACATGCATGAAATGGCCTATTCACTGCAATGGTATGCATACTTACGGGCAAAAAGCGTGTTATAGGTCATTGCATGAAGTCTAAATTATTTGATCGGCATTGCTTAAAGATAATGCATATCTCCGAGGGCATCCGGGAAGTATAGTCAGGTCTGTCTCCGTTCTTACCCAACATCTGTTATTTTACCCGAACACGAGTTGAGTATTGAAGAAGCATGATATAGCTAGGTTGCGTATATAAGGATGTAGCTAGGAAAATAATTCTTGGAAACTCAAAAGGTTTCCCAGAGAACCCATCGGCGATTTAGAAAGATTATAGGTAGATCTACTCTAAACAATGGCATCACTCTCCATCCTATCATAGGGTTCTGTTATATTGGCCCTGTTTGGTTTTACAAGAAACACCTGGTACCGTCGGAGATTGTCTTATAGCTGTATTCAGCCTAGCTCTCTATTCTCGACAAGTCCTTCGAGACAGGTTAGCCACGGCGGATATGCTTAACGCACGGCGGGACTCCGAAGAGACAGCGCTCGTGAGATCCGAATAGCGGCAGATAAATTAGTCCACTGAGCACAAACAGGGCCAGGCGCAAACAGACAGAACACGCAGCTCTCGAAGCCCACGGCGAGGCTGTATTATACAGCGTTGTGCTTAGCGGTAGAAGTGCGCTGTAATACGAGGCTTACTTTTGCGGCTGTCATGCAATCAGGGGAGGGGAACCACCAGCCTTGGAGCATAGCAAGTGCAGTGACGACTTGCGCCAATGGTATCGTGATACTGAGCTGAGTGATGCATAAAAAGCAAAGAAAGTTAGCCAATGAAAATGGTACCAAGGGAGGTATTCAACCCGATGAGGAAACATACTTGGCCGATGGGATTTGGAGGTAGCAAATAAGTTGAATCAGTAATTACTGGCAGCTGACTTCATGAGAAAGCTCCATGCTCTGATTAGCTGTACTAGCATCGTATCTGCCTAGAAAATACTGCAAAGGGTCATTCTTATGTGATGGTCTCCAATCCTGGGGCGCCATGGCGGAAATACAAGATGTTTAATGGCAATGAAGCACCCACTTTACGCCGCGTTACTCATCATGTGAATAGTGTCAGAAGCGCCACGTTGACAGGAGGCATTTTGGACGCATGTCAGATTAAAGACCGGACCGTTATCGGCGGTGACCATGCGTCCAGGACAAACAGCCAAGGGCGAGGCTGTCGGTCACTTTTTGTTATTAAACTTCCCAACTAGCCACCAGTCTTCGATCGCCCAAAATAATCTTGCTGAAGAAAACCTCCATTGAACGAACAACTATTTCTCCTCCTTCGAAGACTCATACCCGGGATACTACAATAGTCATGGCAGTTCGTAACGCATCCATGGAAATAACTTTGCTACAACATGCGTTGGGAAAATGTAGCGCTGACGAAATTACCAGGACACTGTTTGCACTGTGAATGGATGCTATGGAGTTTGGCTTGTGGTCAATTATAACCTTGGATTCACTTCGGGCGGATTTGCCATCTGGAGTCTCGTGAGCCAGGAAACTGGCGAGACAAGGACTGCGCCAGAAAACGAGTGTAATATCATCCGATAAAGCAGCGCTTCGACTCGATTCTAGAGATGACCTATTGAGTATTGTCCATTTAATGGAGGGGCTATGATTGTCGCTAGGCAAGGGAATTGTGATGTCAGATATGCCGGACGGTATGTTAGGGACTGGGAAAAGGATGAGTGGTATACGAATGAGAAAGATATAAGGAGTCTTAATTCCAGGTTATATACCTGGTTTATCCCTAAGTTCTGGTACTTAAATCTGATGACATTGTTGTTTTGATTGGGTGTCATATATGCTAAGTCCCCGCTTAGCCCTAACAAACCTACGGATTCTAAGCCATGTGGTACTGGCTTAGAACGTCTATGACATCTTTAAGCCAAGTCTGACTACGAAAGGCGCATTAAAGACTATGATGGTCAGGCAAAAGTAAAAACATAGCCACCTTCGCTTAATAGCGTCTTTCAACTGTGAGGTCATACAATGCTTGGCGTCGGGATGCCGAGACTCGCTATCTACCGAGCGCCTCGACAGTTGTATTTATTAGACTAAGTGGACTCCCGCCTGCGGTGCCCCTTTCATAATTCTTGATCATTCTTCGACCCTCACGCAATTATCGCAAGCTCAAGTCCGTTTCACCTCGCAATTGACCAATTCTACCGCCCACGAACGGTGCAAACATATCTTCTGATGGAGTCCGTTACCGTCAAAAATTTACTAGTACAAAATCACCAGAAAATACTAGTATTATCTATATAGCGAGACCTAGAGCGTCTTTCTGCTCAACTATATCATTCCAAATTCATGCTCAAAGACCAGCAAACCCACCAGTAAAAGATGGCCACCAGCGAAACAGCCTTCGCCTACCATGAGCCAGCCATTGGCACAATCCTGAACCAAACAGGCTTCCTGCTAGTCCTCAACCTAGTCAATGTGTGCCTCGACAAACTCGTCTACTGTGGACTAATCGGCCAGCTCTTCATCGGCATCCTCTGGGGCACCCCCGGCGCAAAATGGCTCACCCGCGACATGGAAACCGTGATCCAACAGCTCGGCTACCTCGGTTTGATAATGCTCGTCTACGAAGGCGGGCTATCGACGTCCCTACCGTCCCTGAAAGCGAACCTCTTGCTTTCACTCGCAGTAGCCATCACCGGCATCTGCGCCCCAATGGGCCTCTCCTTCATTCTGACCGAGCTGGTAGCCGCAACGCCCCTCCAGGCCTTCTCCGCCGGAGCGGCTCTCAGCGCAACCAGTCTAGGAACTACGTTCACCATCCTCTCGACTACGGATCTGATCAAGACCCGACTGGGAACGGTTACGACCGGCGCAGCTATGCTAGATGATGTCGTGGGACTGGTACTGGTTCAGATCATCACTAATCTAGGCGGGAGTAGTGATTCGTTTAGTGCGGTGACTGTTGTACGGCCCGTTTTTGTTTCGATCGGGTTCGGGGTTGGTGTGGTGCTTTTGTGTCTGTTGGGCATTAAACCTGCGTTGAAGGTCATTCTTGCCCACAAGCATAGATTTCCGGAGATTACGGGGACGGTTCAGTTTCATTTTCTGGTGAATACGTGTTTGCTGGTGGGCATGGTGGCTGGGGCTACTTATGCGGGGACTTCTAGTCTCTTTGCTGCATATCTGGCTGGCGTGATGACGTCTTGGATGGATGCCTTTTTGAAGGAGAATTCCGGGGCAGCGGATGCTGCTAATGCTAACGCGTCTACTGAACCAAGTACGGGAAATACCTCTCAAGAGGAGGATACCAATCAGAATGACCAGACCACTCGCCAACAGACTACCAGCCCAAAACATGATACTCCTACCGGCAGTTTGGTCTACGAAAAATACTACCATGGACCGGTGACCAGGATCCTGGTCCCTCTCTTCTTCGTAAGTCATTTACTCACTCCAACTACAGACTGAAAACCACTAACGCGAATGAACAAAGGCCTCAATCGGCTTCGCCATCCCCATCACAGAAATGTTCAACGCAAAAATAGTCTGGCGTGGCGTCGTCTACGCCATCCTCATGGCATTCGGCAAGCTAATCACCGGTCTCTGGCTCGTGCGGTTCTCGTCTCGACCCGTTTCAAGCGCCCTCCGGATTCTCAAGAAACCGTTTTCTGGGGTATTTCTATTCTGCGCGAGTCCCAGAGCCGGTTCCAAGAAGCAACAGAAGGAGAACCAAAAGGCCCAATCGCAGGATCCCCCAAGTCTCCAAGACAAGTCACACGACCAACCAATACCAACCCAACCAACTACCCCAGCACACGGAGCTATCAACAGCGAACCACCAACTCAAAACTCGCATCCTACCTCGACTCTCCCGCCGAAGCCCAAATCCCTTTATCCCGCTTCAATCCTGGGCCTGGCGATGGTCTCCCGCGGCGAAGTCGGGTACCTCATTGCATCACTCGCCGAGTCAAAGGGGATCTTTGGGACTAGCTCTAGTGGTGGTTCGTCCGAGACATATCTGGTGATTGTTTGGGCGATTTCGCTGTGTACGCTTCTTGGGCCGATTTGTGTCGGGACGTTGGTTAAGAGGGTGAAGACTCTGCAGAGGATGAGGGTGGATCGGGGTGGAGAAGATCCGTTGGGTGTTTGGGGGATTTAGCTTGGTTTTTGTTGTAGGTTGGGAGTAGAAGGGATGATGGAAGTGTGGATATGGATTGGGTGTCTGTGTTAAGAGCAGGGATGGGAACATGTGTGCAAACAGCCGACTCGCGATCCCATTTGATGTTGCTCTACCTGGATGAAGTAAAGGAAACAATGTCATAGTGTGCATAGTTAGTTTAAGCGGCGAGAGATCCAGTACACAGCCCCTAAACTATCTAGGAGCCCAACTTAAGATATAAGGCCTAGCTAGAGCCTAGAAAAGCAGTATATACATAATGATCAGACTCTAGAGTCCACGGTCATCATTCCTCGTCCCTCGATCCCCTAACACCCCGTCAATGCAACATCATTAATAATAATACCCAAAATCCAAATATTCACGGCAAAGAAACCCAAACCAGCGAGAAACAATCCCGGGACGAAACTAGACAAACCGAGAAATTCGAGATAGTAGCCTTGCTGAAGCCAGAGCGCCTGGTATTCTCATTAGTACCGTGGGAGCAACCGTGGGATGTTCTTATTGACTCTAAAAGCAACGAAAAGTAAGCAAGGGTGTATGCATACCTGAGCGATAACCCATAGAGCCATGACGGTAATGCCTAGTCTTGGGTTCTTCATCAAGGATGAGGACGGCAGGTAGAACGGAAGAAAGATGAGATACCAGAGGAAATACTTTTGCACAAGTTAGTCTTCGCATCTTCGGCCCGAACTAGAAGCCTAGAGATGGATAGGAGAAGCATACCTGGCTCGTGCACACTTTGTTGAACGTAACGAATGCGAACGTCTGGGCTAGCATCGCACCTGGCAGGCTTCTTTTAGCCAGAACAATTGGGATAACGACGACAGAGAGAAGTAGCTGCGGAATGAAAGCTAGAGACTCAAAGCTTCCCTGGACGTCTCCAGCAGCGGAGAGATAAAGGAGGCTACTGTAGGGTGAAAAGTTGTGGCGGTGGTCGATGCGAGTTAAATGATGCAGATAGGTATGCTGCGCGAAAGGAAAGTCGTAGAGGATGTACATGGAGATGTTGAGACCGGAGAAGGTGGCCAGTGCGGTGGTGGTGAGAAGAAGGCGAGAGGGTGTGATGAAGTTGAAGATGTGAGTAAAGAGATTTCGATCTTGCTCCGGCTTTTGCTTTTGCGAAGGTTCCTTCAGCCCTTCGCGCTCTTCGTCCAGCCACCAGATAATAGACGGCCCGTAGATAAAGGGATAAATCTTGAAATGTACGCTGAGCCCCAGAAGTACTCCGGCGAGAGTGATTCTCCTGTTCAAGACAGCCCAGAGTAAGGCAATGACTAGCACACATAGGAGACCCTCGGAGCTTCCTCGCGTACTAATATTGGCGACCATAGGATTCAGTAGCCAAACGCTGGCATACTTGAGAGCGCGTGGCGGGCTCATGCTGTAAACGGATATGAGCGCTTTCACGATGAGCCATCCGGCCACCACGTCAGAGATAGCAAAAAGAGCTTTGCCAAAAGAGAAGAAATTATCCCAGGTGGTTGGTAGAAGCATCCACGCGAGAAGAGGTGTGTACCGGTACGTATCTCGAGCGTATGGTGAAGCGCCTTTGGAAACATACCGGGCTGCGTCGGTGAAAACCATGTAGTCAATGTCGGTGTATTTGACGGCTGAGTGGGCATCTTGCCAGGCGCCATAAACAAGAAGAATAGCGCGTAAGACAATGGCGGCACCGAACACCAGTGATGGTCTCTCAAATAAAGAAGCCATGACTGATAATTCTCCTATTGACTAGAGTTCATCAGGGTTTGTCGCTAGGCTGCAAGTTTTGCGAGACTTAGATGTAATGCACACATTAATAAATTGTGCAGCAGAGCTATAAGACGGTGATATGATAATATATATCTGGTAAAAGTTGTGGGCAATTTTACTTTATTTTGCAGCCGGGTTCATATGGTGATTGCGGATACGCCTCAGAAGCATAACGTGTGGTTTTTGGCGTTTGGCGTTTTGGCTGAGTCAGCACACTGGCGATCCCTGCATAATGTATATTGTCTGTAATAGAAACATAGGCATCCAAAAACTGATGATCATTCATATACACTATATGTTCTTTTAAGAATCCTGGTTATATACACTCATCCATCCCGTGCTGTTTGCTATAAAGTATAATTCGCTGTAATGCATCTCCAGACAAAGTAAGTGGAAAAGAAAAAGATCAAGGCAAAAAAGAAAAAAGAAAAAAAGACATAAGAAGAAAGAAAAAGTGCCCTTAGCCAGAAGGACTAGATGTTTTTGTTTAAAGAAAATAGTTGACCCTTTAGTAGTAAGGTAAAGGTGGATTTGCATAGTAGGCACCGTCCCCCATAGAGCCCCCCATAAAAGCTGCACCATTGTTGGCATATTTCACGGCTTTGTCTGTTTGGGCGAACAGCGTTTCATCGTTGAAACTGTTAGTGTCCGTTATCCCAGGCCATAGGCTGCTGTCACTCCAGCTCAGGAAGTCCCATAGGTACTGGGCTGTCGAGTCATCGATGACTGGAGGTGCAAACGGATCGAAGCCTGCCTCATTCTGTAGGAAAAAGTTTTGGGAAGGAAGAATCCCCGAAGCGGCTCGAGGGAATGCCCCTTCCCGTGAGGCGGCATACATGCCGTTGACGATGCCAGCCTCGTTAGCCATGTCGGTCCCTCTCTTACTGGCCTCCAATATCTGCGATACGGCATCCAACGTCCTTTTTGCAGTTGGGCTCCATTGTTCCAGTCGGGCTAGTACAAGCATAGCCATCTCAACCTGAGACTGGCAGCTCGCAACAGTAGCTCTAGGGTCACTCGTTGTGTTGTCATTGAGAAATAATCCCAATAGCGGAACCATGACTGCCTGGAATATGAGCCAGACAGCACTCCAGCCCGACATTTGATGTGACTGAGCCGTGGAAGAAATGTCTTGAATTGTAGCCTCCGCAATCTGTCGACACCTCTCAATTGCCGTCCGCTCTTCGGACCGGAGGGCAATATATGGAACTCGCCGCATGGCGTAGCTAAGTAGTGTTGGGCGGTATATGAGCATACGCTGGTTGTAGTACCGCCATTTCATGACTGTCCTCGTGATGATGATTGATTCGGAACATGGTTCGTGGTCTTTCAGTATATATGGAAGGTTCTCATACCACTCTAACAGTTGATTATCGAAGTGCGACATTTCGTGGTACCTCGTCAACGGAGCGGCAGCCAAGATTTCTTGGATCTGTGTCGCAATTTTACAGAACCGAACGTTTTCTAGAAGCGGTAGAATTTCGAGAACATTTCCCTGAAATGATTAGAATGACAGACTCACAGATCTCGGATGCATACATACCCTTTCTCGGTACTGTGGCAGTTTAACGGTAATCGTCGGTCCAAACCGTCCCATGCTCGGTCGTCCCAGAGTCATACAGCCCCAAGTGTCCAAGCAAAACAGCGACCACCACACTCGCCGTTTCAGGTCTGTCGAATATATGTTCTGCTTACACGACCCTTCCTGGCTATCTGAAAACTCTTTGTGCAGGCCCAACGCTGCAGCCATGCGCAACGCAGCTCCCATGAGCGAATACGCCAGATTTGGTTGACTCACGTAATGAAGATACTGGCCTCCCAAAAGGCCAAGAGTCTGGATGGTCTCTATATGCGAAGAGCCAAGAGATTCTAAATTCAAATAGCTCTTACAGCGCTGGGCATAAATTGTGTGGGACATGTCATCCGATGGGCATGCTGCGATACTACCCAAGGCAAGCACAATGTTCAGCAGTGCCAGCCAACGTTCATCCTTCCTGCATCCCGAGTGGTAGATATCGCGGAAGACTTGCTCATCTAACATGGGTACGAATGGCTGAAAATAAGTAAAGTAGGCGTCGAGCAACTGCATCTCTGTTACGGGTCGATGTCGTTGAGGGGGCGTTATTGGTTGCTGAGACTCTTGGACCGGCCATGATTGTGCCTCTGCTGGGGAATATCCCAGGGCTGAACCAGTAGATTCTGTGTTGGTCGAGGAGTGAGAGAAGTAAGAGAGGGCGCCAGGGTCAAGGCAGAGGATCACTTTGAGAACAGCATTGATGGATGACACTCCTAGATAAGAGGAAGGTTGTCTGGCTGAGAGTGACAAGGCATTGACGTCGTCCGAAAAATTATTCGATATCTCCGTATAAACCGAGTTCTGAGAATCACTGGATTCTTCAGGCATCGTCTGCAAAGATTCCAGATTGCCATCTTCATTGGAGACGGGGGAGACATGGGCTTCGACTGATGCCGAGGTAGCTGGCGACGCTGGGTGTGGCGGCTGCGTCTGCAGCTGGGATGATTTGCCCGTCAGCTCCAAAAGCTTTTCGCGAGACAAGCTAACTAGATTTTCGGGTGGGATATCGGGGAAGAGTTTCTCGAGCACGCCCCGATACTCATCCAGCGTGGTGGAGAGTTTTTCTACATGTCTGCAAATTCATTCCCACGTAAGCCAGGTATAGATCTTCCACCATCTCGGTGGGGAGATAATTGTGGGGAGGAAGGGGCATTGATAATTTGACTAAAAATCAAAAAAGAAAGAGAGCAACCCACCTCCGGGAGGGCCGGGGATCTGCATAATGGCACTGGTCGGCTTTCTTATACCACCGACATGCTTCGCACGGCTTTTCGCCGTCACATTTGATCTTGCGATGCCTGCAGGATGTACAAGCACGAAGAGTAGTCACACGCCGGCCGACGGATGGTTGGCGCTCACCACGACCCCGGGCTGGGGCCGAGTTGTTCGGGTTTTCGAATCCTTCAAAGGTGTGGAACATCTCCAAGAACCGGATTCTAGGCAATCTCAGATAGTGATGAATAGAAGACACCCACTCAGCTGATGCATTTAGATCCAAGTCGATCAGAAACAGCCATCGGAGGTAGCAGACGTCCAGCAGTTTGAATGCAGCCGAGTCCAGGGATTTTTTCTGGAAATAGCGGAGGCCGACTAGTCTAATAATATAATAATGCCAGGGAAAAGGCCGCCACCGTGTATCCTCGCAGCGTACTAGAAGTGAGACCCTGCAGATTGCGGGCTGGTGATTAAAGGGGTGGGAATTAGGGGGATTTTTAGAATGAATGCCCTTCGAGACGGAATATGTCACTGTTTGATGTCCACTAGGAATAGAGAACCCCAAAGAGATAAGAAAGGTGGATTAAAAAAAAAAAAAAATAAACAAGATAAGACCGCGTTGTCGATTACGATCAAGGGTTATGGAAAAGGTGTCTGGGACCGGATGGGGCAAAAGAAGAATATTAAGAGTGTTTGAGAGTCGAACAAAAACGGGTGATGCGCCAGGATGAGTAGAAAGTTAGAGTGGAGGCCGATGGAACCGTCTAACCCTATCGCCAGCCAGGCTGAACAAACCCTCGTTGGCAGATCGTCCTGAGATTGTCCGCGGTTTCCCCGCATTTCTTGATTACTGCATGCACACAGAAGAATTAAATTATTTCCTTTCTTCTACCATTCGTTGACTAGGTGCAGGGTCCCAGAGTATCCTCTGATATCCGACGCAGTTAACCGCTGACCTTGTTGGCTAAATGACACCGTGTCTGTCTATTACCCCTCGTGACGCCAGGTGAGGAGTCTATTACTCTCCCAGGCGTCCTGGGAACCAAAGAAAGAGCACTATTCATTGGAGTGGGGGGGAATAGGACCAAGAGGTGGTCTCTACATCCCTACCAGATACGACAAGAAACCCACTTCATCCCCTCAAGCCCCGGCTCCTGTGATGGAAATGCCGTCGGCTTCCAGCTATACTTTGAATTATTCTACAGACTCGGAGGTGCTGGCACCATTTTTAAAGTTAATGAAATGGGTGGCGTGCATCTGCTTTCTCCAAAGCACCCCCGGGAGACATCCATAGAAGAAAGACAGCATGATGCAGGAAATCGGGGAATTACGGCCTGCAAATGGACCAGGAAACCATCCCTCCCATGGGCTTGACGGCTCTCCACGAGGGATAACGGAAAATACCCCTGCTGCAGCAGAAGGAGCAGTAGAATTATGCCCACCCGCTTAAACACAGGGCAGCCACAACCAATCTGAATAGGAAAAGAAATGCAGACGAATAGCGACTTCGCCCACTTTTCTGCACAAAAAGCACTGCAGAATCACATTCACATCTTAGCGAGAGGACAGTGGCTTGTCCCTGCATTTCTATTCGCAAGGCAGCAGGCTAAGCCAGTTTCTGAGCCTTCGGCTGTATCCAGGTTTCTACACCGGTGGAGTCATCGGCAGGGGTCCAACTTTAAATTAATTACTTACTGCCTCGTGTCGGATATAAACGACCGACCCAGTGCTTGTATCGCCAGGCAGACGGCGGTTCCGCAACGCGCTATGGTCAACTAGGGATCGACGGGCCCTTTAGCCCTTAGGCTAAACCACAATCCTCCGAGGATCCGTTAATTCCTACGCAGGCGAACTGCCTGCCGAATCGTTTCCCTGGGCTATCCGTAACCCCGCGCGTATTAGTTCACTCGGTATGCCAAAGTTTATTGAAATTGCAGGTCACCTGTTGATGCAAGAGAGCCATGCTAGTGTATGGGAATACCCTGCGCAGCCGAATTCCACCAGTGGACATTGAGACCCCAGAATTTCGCCGAAATTTCCAGAGCCGTTCAAGGCTATTTTGCGATCAACAGGAGGCGTCCTCTTAGCACGGGCGCGAGTTGACCGGATAGGCAATAGTGAACATCAGCAATTCGGGATGATCCGAGCCACTGATGACTGTATTAAGGAACATCGCCCCGTTCATCCGACTAGGCTGAACTGCCAATCAACAACGCTGACGATGCCCACCAGTAGCTAGCGGATTCAGACAAGTAACCGTTGATCCGGCGAAAGATTGGCGCCAAGGAATGCGTCATTTTTTTTTCTCCGTGCACTGACGGTGTGTAGGGCATGTCCC